TTGACCCCAATTTCACGGTCCACTGAACATAGAAAATGATAGTGCGAGTGGGGCATCCGTGTACTATGGACACATTCTTGTTTTTGGTTGTTTTAGATTGCCCTTTGGTATCGACTACCATTTTTTATACGCTTTAATAAAAGTGTTTGAGTAAAATAAAACTTACCAGAGTTTGTAGGTGACACAATATTTCTAGGTTGAGGTGTATCTGGGATTCTTGCCGACCCTGATAATCAAGAAGAAAGACATGAAGACATGGACACATAATTTACATTTGGAATATCATAGAAAATTTAAAAAAAACTATGCGATAATAGTGAACATCATGGTTAATTTGTAAAGTCTAAAGAAAACGTAAATTCATTTAATTGTAAAAGTTATTGAGAATGAGTTCATAACGTCAAAGAGAGGTATGTAGTGAAAGAAAATGCTGCAAAATTTCCTTTATACGTTTGATTATTTAAAATTAAGGAAATTAGATTTATCTTCCCACAACTAATCGATGGTTTCTTTAAGGGGATCTCATTGGGGGGTTCTGATCCCGGATCCCGCTTACTGTTTTGTCAGATTCCCGTATCCCGCTTACACTATGTACGTAAGCAATTCTCATTTTTTTGTAATTTCCCGTGTCCCGCTAGACTTCATTTCCCGTTTTCACGGCACAATAATTTGACTTTCACGTGTCACGCTTACAAAAAATCGGCAATCCCGGGTCACGCTTAGACCCCAATGAGACCACCTTTAAGATATTGGCCGAAGTTGTTTGAAAATATACACTTAATACAGACTTACTGTAAGTAAGAGATTGTCTATCAGCACCATGGTGGATGACATTGAATCTGTACCCATCAGGATTTATACTGTCACCGTTGATTAAAACTGTTGCCTTGTGTTTCCCATGTTTTTGAGACATGAAGTACACCTTATAACATCCTTGCTTTGCAGTAAAATCTTCAACTGTAGGTCGGTGAATCTTTCCATTTGGATCTTCAATTTCAACTCGAATGTCGACACCACCTTGGTTTTAAAAATAACATACACATGTAAATCGTTAGATACTATTTTCATGAGAAATGCAAACTTAAAAGTACTTTTCAATGGCACTTGAATCTCTTTTTGAATTAATTTGCAACAAATACCGCTAGTGAATAAAGTTAAGGGAGTCTATTACACCTAAACATTCGGATTCTGAAGACCGAGACAGAATAGTTGAAACCGTTTGAGGTCATCTTTCCCTGAAGGAGTTGGAACCTTAGATTTATAAAAAAAAAAACTTTATCAAAGATACTTGGAACGCCAGACGTTTTTTCGTCTACATAAGAGGGGCAGAAGGACCTTTTTCTGGACGTCGGGATTGAGACGTTTAATTCGCGGGAATTTGGGAATAGCCAGTTAAATCGTCGGGAATTCGGGATTTAATTATATGGTGATGCGAGAACGGACACATTATTTCAGCGGGAATTTGGGATTCAATTTTACCGGGATGGATTTTTGTCACTCAATTACCTCTTAAAGCAAATATTACATACAAAACCACAAAATTGTCGAGATATCATTGTCGAGATAAATACCATAGCATTACATAACATCGAAAACTAACGCATATTTTATAAGAAAAAACAACTATTTTTCTTCTTAATAACATATGAATAACGTACAATGACTAAAATAGTTTACTTTTACCTTCTACTTGAGGATCACCGTCAATATTGTATAGAAAGATGGTAATTGGAACGTCCTCTACGTCAGCTGGAATGTCATTCAATGTCACATTTGTTTTGGGTATATATAGTGAAGAAGACCATATCTTTCCAACATTGTTGGCAAAATGCTTGAAATCTTCTCCCATATTGTCCTGGTGAAACTGTAATTTAAATTGAAATTTAATCAAGATTTAAATTACTTGAAAGAAAAAGAGAGGCGAAAGATACCAAAGAAGTCTTAGCAATTATTTTCCGTAAACGGTGTCATCAAGTGGACATGGTCTGCTGATCCATCCGGAGTACCCAATATTACAAGTCCTCTAATGTTTTCGAATCCTTATTTTTCTGTGTACTGTTTGTGGAATGTTGTCTATTTCTGTCTGTATTCGACTAAGAGATTTTGGTTGCACCCTTAGCATCTTCATTTGTTTCTAATAAGCATAATAGGAAATTTTATTGAACGTCTTTACAACAGTTATTGAATTACTGTTCAACAAGTATACACAATCAAAACTAAAATAAACTTTATCATTTTAAAATGAAATGTGTCTCATAAAATAAAATATGTCTCATAAAATAACTTATTTGTCTGAACCAGACAATAGGTAATGCATATAATCATCCTCCTGAATGTAAAATAACATGCCCTGGAAGGCTTGTATGCAACATCTAGTAGTTAGGCACCTCGTCTTTTGTTGCCTCTTATTGTATCTCAATGTGTGTTTTTGTCTTTTGTGGAAAGATACACACTGAATAGACAATCGATTATTCTTGAAGATCGTATGTTGATCTCTTGATGTAGTTTGGTTCTTTTGTGTCGTTTGGTTGGTTTTACATTGAGGTAAATGTTTTTTCTGTGTCTCATTGACACATACAGCATACCCAACACATTCTTTTTTCACACCCGAATTGCATGAAATTGAAATAATACATAATAAGCGGCATAACTCTTTCACTTTATGTTGGAGAAATGTTAATACAAAGTTAGTTCCTTCTCCTGTTGTTATCTGATCTCAGAAGGCGCTTCAGTAACAGATAGAAAGTGGCAGGAAAATTTGGGAACTGAAATTATATCCATTTTATTTTCTCTGAAAAGTTGAACATGTTGAAACACATGTTTCAAATTCGTTATTTGAAATTTTACTGCATCGTGCATCATTATATTGTGGTTAACCCCAAAATGTGGCTTTGATCTTACAACTCGAATCAACGTAAAGGACAAGACTTGAAATATTACTCTCACATTTAAATATATCATGCAACAGTGGACCAGATCAAAACTGTAGAGGGATTAAAAAAGATATAGAATTTATAAAAGAGATGAGAACGAATATACCATTTTGTTTTGTAAAAGACATTCCACAAAAGAAATAAAATCAATATTCTAATTGATAATGCATGCATAATAAAATACAAAATAAGTAGAAAAATAAATGACTACGCCGACAACAATTGTTTGTTTGGAATCGAACTAAATTCGACACATGCATAGACTGTATGAAAATTCCTTTACCTGAACATCAGCATTATCATGTGGATTTACATCAAAATGGCGAGTGTTCATGTCTTTTAACCTATCGATTACTTTGTCTTTGAAGTTCATAAACTCTGAAGGGGTTGCATATGTTGACACGCATGTTGCAAATTCGTTGGAGTCGTCTAGGTTTCCTTTGTGAAAATTGAGAGAGCTTAACTGATCTTGAAGTCTTTTTTTCTTTACGCTTACTGCATTCAACAGCTCGTTTTTTACTTCTTCTTTCCTTTCTTCTAATTTCTTTTGACATTTACCGAAAGCAACTTCAATATCTTCGACCATTTTTTCTTGAACGTCGTCAAGGTTGGAGATTATTCCATCTACAATATTCAACGTGTCCTCAGCTGTCAGTTGCTTGTGTTTAACCTCTGATACCAAAGTGTCTACAGTTCTTTTTGTTTCCAGATATACGTCCATTAGAGTTCGTAGCTTATGTCCCTTACTTTCGGAATGGAACTGGACAGCGCAAAGAGCACAGACCGGTTTATCACAACTGTTCGAAACACAGTAATATTGGAACTGTTGATCTTCATGACCTTTGACCGAACAACGTTGAATTGCTTGCAGTTCTTCTATCGTGCAGTCTTTGAGATCGTTAACATTGGTTATTTCATGCCTCTTGGTGACTTTTGTTTTCATGTGGGCATCGGTACAATCATTGCAGAGAAATTGTGAACACTCTTTACATCGATGAGTCCCGCGTCGCTTATTCGTGCATTCATCGCATGTTATTGCAGTTTCGTTCGCTTGTACCTGTAAATAATTAACAAGATATCCTCTGCAACCATCTTTTTCAAAATTCTTCACATCTCCATTTGGAACCGGGTGCGATTCGTTGCATTCTGGACACACTACTGAATCACGTGTTTTCAGAGACTCCATGCAAACTTCACAAACACAATGAAGGCATGGCAGAGTTCTAGGTACATGGTCAGTCTCATTGAAATCCTCATTACAGACATAGCATTCAAGGAACTTCTGCCGGACATGCTCTATTTGCGGCCGGATGGAAGTTTTACTTTGTACGCGAAATGGTTGTGTCATCACCGGATGGTAAGTTGCTGTTGACATTTTGACCTTTAGAAGGAAAAAAAATATCAAATAGTTGCTGTTGACATTTTGACCTTTAGAAGGAAAAAAATATCAAATTAAAAAGTAAAACACAATCTGTTTTAAAAGCCAAAATGCAAAGAAGTTCAAATACTCTGACACGAGAGGCTATAATCAAAATTACCTATAAGTAACAACATATCTTCTTAGGTCAAATTTGCCTCAGAGGGAGTTTGAATTTGTTTCGAAAAAAATTATATAAATCCAATCAAAATCTATGCGTGTAATCAAACTAAGCAGGCATTAAGAAATAGCAGATAAAATGGCGTCATTGAGTGTTAGAAATGAAAATTATAGACATTTGCTGCCTTTTAAAATTTTCTATTAATGCAATCAAAATAAATGTATCTTTTATTTTTCTGTCTATTCATTTCATACGTAATAAAGAAAATAAATAATTAGCAGTAACACATTTTTTTTGTAAATAACGGACGTATATGCACTTTCAAAATTACCTACCTTTGAAAAGAGTTCTGTACTAATAAATGCCGATCTAGATTATCTGCCAAAAATTTGTTGTTTGACTTTTCGAGTTCGATTTCCATGTATCAATTACACGTTGCTATTAAGCTTATTGTTATGCTGAAAGGAATCACAAACTATACCTTCACGCCTAAAAACAACCCAACAAAAAGTGAAGGTATTTGGGAGCTTTGTTGATTATCTTGGTTTTAAATAATACCTTAAAAAGTTTTATTGTGTATTGATTTCAATATGCTTTGTTTTTAAAGCAAAGAGTGATACACTGAAAGGGGAGAATCAGAATTTTCAATCAGAAGAAATTTTACCCATTGCTTGCCATCTTATCGGGGTATGTTTAATTTCATTATCGGTGTGTTTTTAGATAAATTACTTTTTTATTATTGATGTTTAACTGGTAATTAATTGATTCGGAAAAAAAAAACACGTTGAACATAAATAGCAATTAAAGTTTATGACAATTTCAATTAATATAAAAAAAGTATGAATTTGTTTTCTTTAAATGCGAAAATTTAAATATAATTTAAGCATACAAAGTTCTAGAAAATAAATAAACATTCAAAATATGTCTCCAGTTCATCTCGGTTCATTTTTTGCAGAAAATTCTTTGCTACAATATATTTCCCTATAACTGACACATGAATTTCAGGACGAAATTTATATGTACAGGGTAAGTTCGTAAAATTTGTTTATCCATCTAAACTATTTACATCCACATGTAAAACAGGACTAAAACTTTAAATAAAATGTAATTTAATGATTCAAGGCTATTGTTTTTGTTTCCTTATAGTTTACCAACAGCAAGGCTTCACCAAAACTGAAGCAAGTAACGCAAAAAGATATGTATAAGTTTGAAGTATCAATAGTCTTCAAAGGGAACACAGAGACGCTTCTACATTCATAATGGTTTTACCCGTTGTTCACCAATTAACTCTTTAATGGTAAAAGGTAACCTTACCTGGGTACTTCAACATTGGTGCAAATGCAACTTTGGATTTTTTCTTTCAAATTGGCGCAAATGTAATACGACTGAGAGAATATATAGTTCGATAAAAGGTTGTGACAATTCATTATTTTGTTGTTGTACGGAAAGTTCTACCAGCTCATGTTTGGCATACCCTTTCAGTTTTGTCCTTTACGACAACGCCTGGACATGCTAACTGACTCCATTATTAGTTCTTTTTATAAAGGCTAGCTATAACAATCAATACACATAATGCTTTATAGAATAGATATTTATATCAAAACACTGGTGTTATATATACTCAATATCCGCACAATTATCTTGAACTCTAAATCCTTACTATATACACGTATCTGAAAATAAAAAAAGGAACAATGGTTAACTTTACGGAAGATGGCTTTACTTAATTGACTACAACACCAAAACATTTTAATATAGTTTATATCAAAACATTTAGGAATACAAAAGCAAGCTTCGATCCTCAATCACAGAGATGGATAGACGATCAAAAGACTTGTTCAAGAAACCGACATCAATAGCCATTTGTATTCCAAACACAGTTGTTGTGCCAAGTGATGCTGCAGTAGACGAAGAAAAGATTGTCCTTACAATAAGACTTTATAACGATGAACTTATCCCAATATACGATGGTAAGACTCATTAACAACGTTTTTAAAATGCATTGATTTTTAAATAAAAAACACACTTTATAATGTTCGTCCGCCCGAAGCGCTCTTCTTGATTAAACTTCATGAGGAGCGCTCAAACATAAACAATTGATAGCCAGGAATGTTCTAATACGTAGAAACGTTAGGAGCGATATGAACAAAAGGGACCTTAAAAGAATATCCAAAATCATATGTAAGGTAAACTTTTCCTTAGAACCTTAGTTTCTTAATAATTGCTTAATTTATCAATTTTATGTTCGACCTACAAGGAATTATGCTTTTAATGGTGTAGATACCGTTGCTGTGGAAACCAAAACAATCTTAAAATACATGATCATTTTTTGAAAAAAGTTTTTACCTCTTTCTGAAAGATTTTTAGTTGTTAATGATAAAGTTGTCTATCGGTCATAATTGGAAAAGTTATAACTCGCTCTGCATTGTAACACACATACTAACCTATAGACAAAATTACAGACAGACAGACAGACATGCACACAGACATCGGGCACTCATACATACAAGCATAAAGACATCGGGACATAAATACATTCGTGCATATAGACAAAAAGACTGACCTTTCAGCAATTGTCAAGATGAAAATTAACAATAATAGCACAGTTCCTTGGTTTTTGCTAGGAAATGTTGTCTTATGTTATCCAACCTATATAAAAATAAGAAGATGCCGTATGATTGCCAATGAGACAACTCTCTACTAGAGACCAAATGACATACAAGTTAACAACTATAGGTCACCGTACGGCATTCAACAATGAGAAAAACCCATACCACATAGTAAAAAATATCCCTTCTTTTCCAATTCAGTATTTTATAAAGTAATTTTGAAACACATCTGCAATATTTACGAAATGTATTCCTTTCAACTATATACTCAGAGTAAACAAGACTTAATATTTCAGTCCAACACCAAGTACGATCATTCAAAATTCTATTTATAGCAACTGCAGATATAAGTATAGAAATATTAGACCCAGACAATGATATATTACGACCTCACGCAGAAGATTATACAGACAAAGATGGGACGTACAAAGTATACTTCATTGCTCCAAAACCAGGGAAATATACTGCGCATGTGCTGGTAAACGGGAAATGTATAAATACAGCAGGTTACAAATTCAGTGCTTTAGGACAATATTCTTACAACAAAAGTAAGTTATCAATGTAGATAGTTTCAATATATCTAGACATATAAACGAAGTAGTATCAAATATTTCAAGAAGATTTCTTTGTAGAATAAGAATGTAATATTTTCCGATTTGTTTACTGATCACCCTTTTTATGCAGTATAAAAGAGCATTCCTGTTCAGTTAGAAATATTGCATCTTGATCGATATTGCATTCTGTACTTTCTCACACACTTGAGTGGTTCCGGGTAAAACAATATTTGCTAGCAAACGAAAGACAAATAACGTGACAGAAATTGACATTGCGTTATCATCTGAGTTGCAGGAATTTGATGAAGTATCATGAATGTTGATGAAATATTTTGTTATATATTATAAATAGTTATTGCACTAATTTTTAAGAATACTGTCCCTCGCAGTATAACATGTTGCACTCGAAAGCCGTGTAGTATGATATACTGCTCGGAACAAAATTCTGCCATATTAGTGCAATAACCCTATATGTTATTAATGTTTTTATTAGCTTAACATACAAGTAAATAATATATGTTAACAAAATATCGCTCCTGAACCCCGTTTGCCGTAATATATTTCCCCCGACACAACACCTAGTAATCAATCCTATATTTGTTTGTGTATTAATAGCTTCAATGGACGAATGAAACCTTTCTTTCATGCATTTCTTTTTTTGCATATCTTTTTTGTAGGAAAACATTCTTTTAGGAGTTCTCCAAGACTATATACTGGTAACTAATATTGTAAATAATTAGCATTATAAGCAGTGAGAAGAAACAAAGATAAATGTTCATGAAATCGCAAGTCAACAATTAAAGATGAAAGTCTGAATTCAATTAATTTGTTAGAAAATAAATTTAGATTAAACTTCTTGAAATATCATTAATGATCATGGTATATTTGCCGGTTATAAACACATTTACATTCAACATTATTCCATTTATTCTGGAATTATGAAGTGAAAAAACGATTATCGCTTATTGAGTTTTTTTTTTTAAATGAAGATACTAATGCCCATAAATTGTTTACACATATTCCCCGTTTCCAGTCTCTATTCTATTCTCTTTGAACTAGGAGACATGCCTTCCAGAAGCTTTTCAAGAATGACTACAGGTATGTAAGACTCAAATATAAAGTTTTGAAGTATGCTCTGATATTAACACGTTTATTTGTAAAACTATCTTTTTCTTGACAATAATAAAGAACCAAGGTACTCTCTATTACACCATAGGAGTCTAAAGTATAGTTTATTACCGTCAAAGTTGAGGTTTGCTTTACCATTGGCTGCCAGTAATTATTTGCTGTGCATGCCATTGGCTGCCAGTAGTTAATTTCCGTACATGTCACGTGCTGCCAGTGATTATTTTCTGTACATGTTATTGGCTGCCAGTAGTTAATTTCCAAAGGTCATAGGTTCGAGTTCCTGTCGGATGAAACCAAAGACTTGAAAGTTGGTAATTGCTAATTTTTCGATAATCACATTGCATGATGGCGAAAGAGCAAAGACTATAGCTCGGAGTTGGGATTTTGTTTCTGGGTAGAGTGATGTGTCTTTCATTGGACTTTTACCTTGTGAAAAAGCATATTGAAATTTCTACTAAGCTTGTAGTCAAGTACAAAGCAGGGTTCAATTCACATCAAATTAACGTGTTATCATCCTGAAAATGAATTCAATTTGCCACTGGATGTTAAACAGTCATCAATCATCATCATATAATGTGAAAACCATATATTTGTCAACCTCTAGATGACTTTTTTGGTTTATAGGTCTTGGTTTCTCTTCGAAATATACTCTAGATTTACTTTTATTCTTATTTCAAACATTTTCTTTTATTCTTATTTTAAACATTTTATTGTTTTGGCTCAGAAAACACTGCAGGTACACCGGTTGGTATCATTTTTCTACTTTTTTTTCTGTATTTTGTCAGGGATGTTGTCGTCCATGTCATCACCTAGAATTTCAGCCTTGATGTCATCACGTTCCGCAAAATCAGGTATTTATTTAACTAAGGCATCTGTTATTTTTTAGGATATCCTATATATATATATATATATATATATATATATGCTAAGAATATTTTGATTACCACTCTAATGTAATTTGTGTAGGCCATGCAAGCTGATAAAATTGGGAAACATTTTCAGATTCTATATTATGAATAACATGATGCCAAAGTTTTAATTTAACTAGGAACGCTATAGAAATATACGGTTAAAACTTTACTTTAATAAAACACTACATATTTCACCCGTTTATTTGATAAGACTGTAGATTTTGCTGATCTTTATGGTATTCGTTAGAAAATTAAACACGAATTCAAAGATCATTAAACAATAAATGTTAGGAGTTTTTGTCGAAATCATCTCCGTAGAATGCAAAGCTAATGTACTTACCGATACTAAACATTGATCGATAAAACGGCTGATGGACTGGAAGTCTCGACAGCCAGTGTGTTTGTGTAAGAATGGCATAACATTAAAATTGATACAAGATAAACGTTTAGTTGGAAGAAAGATGTAAAGCAATTTCAAAGTCCGTCCCTCTCTTCACTTTTTTCTCAGGAATTTCAAATCGGAGTTTCCTGAAATTTGATATCAAGGTTTATTTTGTTAACATGCTGGTTCAGACGTCTGGCTGGGGTTTAAAAGGTCCCCATTCATATATTGTTGTTTGCGAAAATCTCTTCTCATTCATTTTTTTTGAGGAAAGTTTTAACCTTTTGATATATTTCCAAGCTATCAGAAATATAAAATCTATGAAACCTTTAGATGTAAACCACATGGGATCATTCATATTATTAAACAACGAGACCAGTACACAGCTTACACAGACAACTAAACAGAAGATACAAATTTATGAACCATTAGCATATACATTTCGACCCTATGCCATACTACCTCCGCGAAATTGCACCCGATTGATATATTTGACATTCCAAAAAGGTGTCCCATACCATTCCATGTCTATGTATACCTTTTATAATATTAGTTACACACTTTGCTAGTGACCTAATACGATATATTTGATGTCAGTAAATTCCATATGGGGTGAGAGCGAAGCGAAGCTCTCAACCCATATGGAATTTACTGACCTCATATAAGTATATCGTATTAGGTCACTAGGACACTATGTAACGAATTTATCTTACCGACTATCTTAACATGACTCTGGCATTTAAACTAGTGGCCTATCAAAGTGATTTAGTCTTCAATATAAAGAACCTACTTCCATTGGTCTATACAAAAACAAATGCCAACAATAACAACCTGTTAGCTCTTAATGTGTTTTCTGAATTTATTTCAATCGTTCATCATTAATTTCTTCATCTGTTGTCCGGATGAAACGTTTCAGATTTTACCTCAACTTCGTGCTGTTTTTATAAAGGGACTTGACACCAATACTAACCGTGTATTAAAATAAACCACGCCCTACTAACCCCATATTAAATGTACAGGGTCTCCACGCGGTCGCCTTTCACTAATGATATTCATAGAAAGTATAGGAGGTTAGATAATATAGGAAGAGATCTTTTTCCTATACATTTCGAGGAATATGATTGTTTAAAAGCGTCCGCGTGGAGACCATGTATATTCCATATTAGGTTAGTAGGGAGGCGGGGCTTATTTTATACACGGTTAGTAGGGGTGTTACGTCCCTTTATAAAAACAAAACGGTACTGAGAAAAAATCTTAAAGGTTTCAACAGACGAAGAAATTGATGATGAAGATTGCAATAAATTCATAAAACACATTTAAACCTAACAAGTTGTTATTGTTGGCATCTGTTTTTGTAGGATCAATGGAAGTAGTTTCTTAATGCTAACGGTATTGAAGACGTGCTCATTTTGATAGGTCACTAGTCTAAATTTCACACGTTAAGATAGTCGGTAAGATAAATTCGTTACATAGTGTGCTAGTGACGTAATACGGTATATATGGGGTCAGTAAATTCCATATGGGGATTCGAGCTTCGCTCTCACCCCATATGTAATTTACTGACCCCATATATACCGTATTAGGTCACTAGCACACTATGTAACTAATATTATTAATCAAGTAATGCTGTCCACCTTGTTAACTAGGATATCCTATATTTCTTTCCGAGAAGTACGGAAGAGAAGTAAATCTTCGAAATGTACATATGAAATATTGAATTAATTTCACACCATGTTATACGAGACTTTATATCATTTAGATCAAAAAGAGTCACGAATGACCAAAAGACTCGAAATTTTGTGATTTTATGATGGCGCAAGAATGACGTTTTTGACGCAATAAAAAATTGACCAATACGATGCGTACTGTACCCGTTATTCCTAATCATATTAATTTTCAAGAAATTTTAAGAATAACTCATTTTTAATATCTGTTTAACTGATATATGATATTCCTGTTTTACTTTCAGATGATATTTTGTATCGTGGGACACCGAGAACTTTCAAAGGTAAATAGTTAACAACTGATAGTTGAACAGTCACTTTACTCTAAACATACTTTTTTTTATATGAAATTGTACAATGAGAGAGGTAACAGGTTGATCTCTTTTTAAATTTCAAATGTAATAAATTCAAACGAAAATATTATCGGAATTACTCTAAGAACATATCTTATAATTTTACAGGTGTTGTGGCGACAAAACCACCTTCACGTCTGACTGTTTTAGGTAAGTTTGAAAATAATCCAGTTATAATTACATTTACTTTCAGTATGTTAGACTAATGGGGAATAGACATATTGGCTTCTCTGGACTATTGCCGCTCAGTAGTAAAAATTTTGTTTAATTGGGGCGTCCTTTTGACTGTGCGGGATGTATAAATATGCAGCCACGTCAGTTGGGATCCGATGCCTAGTGAAGAGTGAGTGGCCATGTAACATTCTCATTGAAGTATACCCAAATCAAATTTCATCCATGAACATACAACTGCAAAAATCGAAATAATGTAAACTTGAAATAGAGTTAACAGAGCGCATCAACAGTAAACGAAAAAAAAAGTAAAATATCAAAAATACCGAACTCCAAGGAAAATTCAAAACGGAAAGTCCCTTATCAAATGGCAAAAATTTAAAGCTCAAACACACCAAACGAATGGAAAACAACTGAAATATTCCTGAATTGGTACAGGCATTTCCTTGTGTAGAAAATGGTGGATTAAACCTGGTTCTATAGAGATAGCTAAAAAAAAAGCTAAGAAAGCTCTAGACACTTCACATCAATCATGTGATCTATGGTTATGACAATGTCTTTGATAAAGTCGATATCACAGTCAAAGGAGCAGTAGTAGAAGTGTGTGATCTATGTCATCTTGTTAACAGTCTGTAGTAAAATTACAATAGTAAGAAATAAAAATAATAATGTTCTCCTTCGCTTTGCTCATTTGAACATAAAACTTTGTGATTACTTCAAAATAAAACATTTGAAGACTTGTTTGGATTGAGAGACGCACCACAGCAGTAAAAAGTAAATATAAATATTTTAATAAATAAGAAATATAACGATTCAGTGCGCTGACAAATCGTATCAAAATGTAAATCAAAAACCATACACTTTATAATTTACCATACAAAAAATCTGAAGTTGAAAGAAGGAAAATAAATTTTATCTCTTCCATTCTTATTGTCAGTCGTCTGTTTGTCTCAATAGTTGACCCTTCCAAGGCAAATGTCTGCACCTTAAAGCATGACATAGGACAACTGTTCAATAAACAACAAAGGCTGTGCCAGAATATATGCCATACTATACTTAGTTAAAACCCCATAAGCACAGACTTTTCATATCACTTGCAGATGAGTCCCTGCAAGATGCACCGATATACTCTGCCAGAGATCAACTTAACACGGATAGTAAGTAAATTTTATCTTTAACTAGCAAAGTTGTTTATTATTGGCATCAATATGCATTAAATAAATTGAAATAAATGGAGAATGTGTCCACTCCGGTGACGGCGGGGGCATAAAAAAAATAAATGCTTTACTATATTCTTCTATAAAGGGAAGTTGTTAGCGGTGTTGGACTTTCCTTCAAATGTTAATTGACAAGTCATAATTCTTCATATAATTAGGATTACAATAATTTACAATTAAATGATTTTTTTTGTATGTAACATGTAATTACATTTTGTACACATCCGAAGCAAATTTAACGCAGCTCTTCAGGCATAACATTTTCAATTTTCAATTTCAAATGACTAAAAAGATTGAGCAGACTAAGTGAATTATTCATAACTATATATTCTAATTGTCATCTAAAGGACAAAACAGTTGATAAACACAGTATCAAGGTTTGTTGATGTTTTAATTTTTACATGTTTGCAGAAATACAGTCATAACATTCTATCATCATTTGACACAAACCTTTTCTTTTTTATAGACTTTTCTCCACGAAAATATTCTGGTACTATAACTGAGCGGAATTTGTTGTATAATGACGTAAACTGTAAGTCTTTAACAATGGCAGGAAATATTTCACATGACTCAATATTGAGTCGAATAAATTGTACTTATATTCCTTTAGCGGGACTTGTTGAGGAAAACAAAATGTTAAGTTGTATTTTGATTATTTGACAGTTACGTCCATGATACGCCCTTCCTGCTTGTAGGATTAAACAAAACAACTTTAGAAACTCTATTACAAAGAATTGTTTTTACGTCAGAACAAATGGTTGCATTTCTCAACACGCATCACCGCTCTATGGATTTAGAAAAAAAATCATTATCTTATAAATAAAAGAAAAAAAGTAAAATAAGAAGTTGAACCAGCATTGTTGAATTGTTGAAGAAGGCATTGCATACCTGTATAGAGCATATGAGTTCGTTGGTGCTCAGACTGCTTTATCCTAAGATTTCTGTACAGTATCTTCTTAACTTTGTTTTCCTTTTCGTTTTTTAATTAAGTCACACTGTTTTCTGTTCCGATTATAATGTAGATTTTGTTTTGTTTTCTTAACATATGTTTATACTTGTTGAACAATATTTCCAGTTTATCTCCTGTGAAAGATAAATTAACTAGAAGTTGTGAATATCGTTGTCATAATTTAAGTATAAGTCATTACATTTTCAGGTATAAGCATAGCATTTGATGCAGCTGTTTCTCATCCCTCAGTAGAAGTCTCACGTGACAGTCTTACGATGGCTTTGAAATCGACAAAACAAATATATGGCTCTACTCAAAGTAAAAGTGGAACTCGAAGACTTCGTTTATTTCCGGGAACCATTGGAACACGATCTTTCAACAAACCTGGACTGTTTTATTGGGAAATTTCTATAAAATTCAAAATTTTGCGCCTAATTCGACGGACAGTTTTATTTGAGATTGGTCTTGCAAGGAATGACGTAATCGATAAAAGTTTTAGAAACGACCGTAGTCCATTTGCATGGGTAATCAGTGGAAGTGGATGCCACCTTTGTGGAAAAGTGTGTCTTCATGGGTGGCATAATGGTCAAATGTTAAGTCATTATCCATTTAGTGATCGAATTCCCTTATCAATCAGATCATATTCTCAATTACACTATGGATTTTTGCTGGATACGTCTAAAAGGCATTGGATAGTTGTTGATTTAAAAAGTAGAAAGGTAGTAGCTCACTTCAAAAACTTAGTAGTTTCACCGAAAGAGGCCCCACTGTGGCCAGTTTTTGGTATTTACAACCCAGAACAAACACATATTACCATGGAAATATTCTATGGGTCTGATGTCAGTAGAATACCAGAAGAAGCTTTAGATGCTCTTTCTATTTAACTGCGTTATCTCTATCAACAAATGAGTAACATTCATTAGGATATGATGGTTCAAATTTTTTGAAATGTGACATGATGTTTCCGGGTTTGCAACACGCTTCTTTAAATATATTAATCAGGAGAATACACATTTTTATTTGATTAAAATATGATAATTAAAAAAAACAACACGAATTTAGGTACTAGTGTTATGTGTCAAATAATGTGTCTAAAATATTTACTATGCAATGATTATTGAACAATCCAATAAAAAACCTTTTGCAAGAATTGTAAATTTCAGCATTATAATAATATGATATAGCACTTTATATTATCCAAAGACCCCGTAGTAGTTCTACACACGAAAACAGGCATGTCATTATTACTGAAGATTCTATTGGATTTTGCCTATTATATGACTAAAATTTAAAAAAAATAATAATATTTAGTTTAGTAGAAAGAGAAAAATGTGAAACTAATATAAAATGTACAAACTGACGACTGTAATGGTAATCAGAATTCGCATAAACTTTAGACAAACAAAAATGTCCAGGAGCGTCGACAGGGCAGGCCTGTTATAACATGCACGAGTGATGTATATGTCATGGGAGAGTCAGAAAAATACAGTCATTGGAAACTATATTTTTTCATAAATTTCCGATGAACATACATCGATAATATATATATATGAACATTCTTGTCTTGTTCCCGTTTTGATGTAAGAATTTTTTGCTGAAATGCAAATTTTAGCATGTTATGCTCTAATTTACACAGTTCTGGTTTGGACACTCATTTCATTTTAAACTATTTATTGCTCAATTTGAAAAAAAACGTCAATGACAACAACAGACACAGAATTTTGCATTGAAAGATCTGGATCAGTAGATGCTCATTTTGCATTTCAGGCCATGCTTTTATTATTTAGGTCCTTTTTGGTCATATAGGTCCTATATCCCTGGCTTTCAAATTATTAGGTTTTAGCGTTCCTGTTGAAGTTAAATCCTGTAAAGCGCTCAAGACGCACGAAATTTATAAAGTATAAAAATAAGAAGATGTGGAGGCCAATGAGACAAATATCCACCAGAGTTCAAATGACGTGGATATAGACAATTGTACGTCAGTATGCGATCTTTAAAAATTGAGAAAAACTCCCACAGTATAGTCAGCTATAAGGGGGTCTGAATTATGTGAAACAACTTAAACGAGTGTTTATATCATTCATTGTTTATTCGTTTCAAAAATCATTTTTCGAAAAGGTGGTGATCATGTTGATGCCAAAAACCATAACTCACTTATGATGAATTTATTATGAGATCATTTTGGAAAATTTTGGTACTTTGCAACATTTGATAGGATAGTAGTGAATGGGTGTGTTACGTTTTCTACCTGAAGTAATATTGGACGGTTTTGTCATCAAAATAAAATTGGATCATGAAGCTTTCCCAAGTTTTGGTATCAATTATTAATTTCAGGGCGTTTCATATTTTGTTTTATGTTTTCTTGTCAAGATTACTGTTTCTATCATTCATTGTGATGCTCGTTCATATTATCAGTTGTTGGTCTGAAGAGAACCATTGATGTATCATTTCTCTAAAGTTTGTAAGCATTTGGCTGTTATGTTTGTTTAAGTCGTTAAATGATATTCGTTTTAAAGTTGCTAGTCACGACAGACATGATAGAAGATCGTTGGGAAAATAAATATAATAGGTTTCAAAGTAGTTTTTTTTTCGTTTTAATTGTTTCACATTTTTCATGTCTGGACATTTTAAAGCCGACTATCCGGTGTGGTTTTTTTCAATGATGAAGGCCGCACAGTGACCTACAATTGCTTACTACCACTTCATTGGTGGAAGGTTGTCGCATTAAAAATCATACCACATCTCCTCAGTTTTACATGACGGCAATTAAACGAAAAGTAGGACAGTGAAGAGAATTCTGTAAGTTACAATGACATTATAAAACTATCAGAATAAGTTTAATTTTGTTTACGATTTTTGCAAAAAAAAAAATACAAGCTGGCTTATTGAATGAATTTTCAAAGTCGAATATTTGAAAGCCAATGATGTATAATAACCGAAACAGTTGAAGAGCTATATGACCAAAAAGGACCTAAAAATAGCCAAATCCATCTAAGGTCGACTTTGCCTGTGGGAGTTTAAACCTTGAGTTTCTTTATAATTTAGACGTCATTAAGACGTATTGCCTCATTTGTATCAGACAAACACAATACCGCTACTTTTGTACAACTTGTTATCGCTATATAAAAGATGTTTAAAAATAGGTTACTATGAAGATCGCGTCTATCGCATCAGCCTTGAAACATAGGACTACTCCCGAGACACACCTATATAGGACTATGAGACGAATAGTTTGACTAACACATGAAAATGGACAGTTTAGGTCGATTAAAAACTATAATTGATCACAAAAGAGACAAAAGAGAGGTAAAAGATATCAAAGGAATAACCAAATTCATAAGTCGAAAACAAACTGACAATGGTATGGTAAAAAAAGAAAAAAAAAGAAGAAAAAATGCATGAATGAAAAACATCTAAATTCTGTTTATCCTTTGGCTTGAACAATAATGTATTGACTGCTTAATTGTTCTAGATTATTTAAAGTTGATTAGTTTTGCAAATAAAGTGTTTTTCATAACCACATGGTGTATCGTCAAGAAGTAAACCTTCAGCTGTTTTCCAAAGTTGTACGCAGTATTCATTTGTAAATACGTTTGGTTCATTCCTGGCCCATAAATCAGACAGATTGTTAATAGTGTAATTGTACTCGGAACTCTGCCACCGATACTGATTGTTAAACACACGTCCACCTACCCATATGTCTTCGTTTATAAACTGTTTGAGCCAATTAATTTCGTTGTGAGATTGAATATAAACAAGTGAGGACGCGTGTGGTTGCATCCGCTGGCATGTTAAATATGCCGTTCTCCAGTTAGCTTTGTAGGTACTTATCCAATAACACGAAAACGTAGCGATGTTGAACATCCAGTGTTTTGGACACGGTAAGATGTTGCAGGTCCTTTGTAAAAGAACCTTTTGTCTATACTCTGGAAATGCACATGACATATTTTCACATTTCAGTCCGAATGTACCAAGTGGGCATGTGCAATGATAGACATTTCCCCAAATTGAACACGATCCTCCATTTTCACAGGGACCATTACTACAGGGAGTTATTTCACAATCTTCTCCACTATAGCCATTTTTACAAATGCAATTACGTCCGTTATCAGTATTCTCACATAATCCACCATTTTTACAAGGGGAATTGTAACATGGAGTTTCGTCACAGTCAGATCCAGAAAACCCTTTTGTACACGTGCACTTGTATTCGTAACCATTCTCAGTACAGGTTCCATTGTTTCTGCACGGTAAACGACTGCAAGGATTTATTAAATTTGAGCAAAGAACACCGGTATATCCAGAAAAACAAACACACTTGTACCCTCCGACCACTTCTATACATTGACCATTATTTCCACAAGGTGAACTGTCACAGATCGATTTACAGTCAACGAGGCCTGACGCCTGAGTTAAATCACCAACACATAATGTTATATTCCCCGAATAAAGACAGGATTTTCCGCTTTCGCAAATAACCCTGTCACATGGAGTTATTTCACAACATCGTCCGGAATTTCCGTTTTTGCACTTACAAGAAAAATCAGTATCGTGTTCTGCTTGATATTTATCGTTATATAAACACGAGTACCTTCTAATATACAATATGTTGGTGACAAGGTATATAACTACAACACTTAAAATAACAGAAATTGTGCAAAAAAGTATAGCTAATAATTTCCATGTTGGTTTCCTTTTAATTGCCCTTTCGTTATTTTGTAAAGTTGCTTCCTCTTTGCGAATAACATCATACACATTATCCTCATTTTGTGTACGATATTTTTTAATTAGGCTGAGGTAATTATTATCGGGTACTAGCTCGTAGCTATTTCTGTCTGTATTGCTACCTGATATTGTAGAATTTGCATATCCAGTTTCTTGCTGAGAATCCATAGTGCTGTGTTGATAAATAAATAGCGTCTTTTTGATGTAATATTTCCTTGTAATTAAAGTATTTAACTGTTAATATATGACTAATTATTACTCATACAGATAAACGAAGTTCAACAGTCCGGGATCATCTAAATATTTGTCAATGAAGTGTAAAGTACTTAACTTCAACACAATGAAGAATTTGTCGTTTCCTTCGGTAAATGACATTATCGGGTACGGTGTTGTTACGTATAGTGCAATCAAATTATTATTTTTACCTTCAACTAATTGCAAATTAATTGCAACAGAAACGCTATTAGTTTCAAAAACTGTATATACAAATCATAATCAAAATCGAAAAAAAAATGAAATAAGTAAATGACATTAAAATTCAGAAAAAAAGAATTTGATAACGACTACCCTGCTATTTTGACAGAACTGGCGATCATATACACAGAAGAGTGCTAACGCATCGTGGTATAAAGTAGTCAATGCTAATCGTTATCAATTACTAATGAGTAATAAAAATACCTAGCTGGTATCTGTGATTTTAGTAAATAGTGTACATATCGGTCGTAAACTCAAATTTTGACAGATGAAAACAGATATTAGCACACTATTCGATAGAATGTCAGAATGCAAAGACGTGAAAAACAGTTTTATTCTGAGCTCTGCGTGCACTGAAGAAGCTGTAAAGTAGATTATACATTACAATTACTTGGTATTTTTTTACTTGTCCCTATATTTTGTCGTGTTTATACCATTATTGTAGAGTAAAGCGATTTTTCTATCTGATTTTCCATCTATATATATACTTTCCAGTTTCATTAAAGGGGCATTTAAGCTATTGTATTCACTTGTCAGCTGTCATAAAACTTTTAAAGGGGCATGGATGTTAAACTCCTGTTCACCGATTTGACTAAAATTCTCATATACTTGATTTATAAAATACTTAAACGTATTTCTAAATTACAAAAAGTAGAGAAAGAAAATGCATGAACTCGCTATATTGTATCAGCATTTCGTGAGTATTTTAGACTAGACACCATCTAATTATCCACTAGATGACCGCCGAAGACTTCCGACGGTCATATAATCCGATATAAACATTAATAGACAGAGTAGACAGACAAACACATGCAATCGTTTAATGATGATTTTTCTAGGTCGGTTTGAGTTCATGTTATTGGTAAAAGTATGTGAAAATCATCGGTTACCTGCAAAAGAAAGATTATTTGTTGGCAGGATCTGTCAACATAATGGTTATTCCTTATGTCTCCCTTGTTTCATTTTTCAATGTCGACATTCTTTTTTTAATGAATGAATATGATGACCACGTTTTTTTCTGTTTAAGGAATGAGCATGATGACCACATTTTTACTTATACGCAACCCATCTCCACTAGAGGTTAAATAAAAGGTTGCATGAATACGGATTTAAATGAATTGAATTATTGACTTATACATCAACGGTTTTTGTTTTAGCTTATTTTGACGAAATTGAGCCAGAATTACTGTTAATAGCTTATTAATTAAGCCCGCTGACCACTGAAAAATTATAGAACATACGGATTAAGTACATATTACTGTCAATCATTTGGAAGCAATGGAACCTAAATGGATGTAATTTATTCGAATCAAACAGCATTCTTGAAAATTGAAATATCTTCCAGAAAACTGCAGACTGTCCTACAAAATTCATAATCACGTACCCCAAAAAATAGCTTTCATTTATACTTTTGAACACATTAACTTCAAATTTGACCACAAACACCCACAATTTCATTCCAAAGTCTTGTCGATAATTGCCTAAACTCGGCATTAGTTTCCTCAAACTTAAACTGAACTTTAATACGTGTAGTTTAATGCAGATTTTGATAACATGCAGTCAATAGTCAATGTGGGTTACCGGACAGGTGTCAAATGTGGAGCAGGATCTGCTTACCCTTCTAAATCATTTGATATGACCCCGGTTTTTAGTGGGATTCGTGTTGCTCAGTATTTGAATCTTTATGCAGTGTTTTGTAGACTACTGCTTATGTTTTCTTCTGCAATTATGAGTAATAACCATCTGTTGTCGTCCAGTATTCCTTATTTTTTCGTTAAACATTTATCTTTTGTCCTATAAACCGTGCTTATTTCATCTTGTCACATTCCGTCAAGATTTTGGTAGGAGATCTTGCATGTACAGATGGTTTCTGAATTTGAGGATGTCTTCGGGCTAGACCTATATTTTTTCTGGAAATAAAATCACTTGAATGTTTTAACAGGAGTAACATGTTGGGCGTCACTAGTGGAGCAAGAACAGCCGTCTCTTTTGCAGCAACCGAGTTCACCTTCGGTTTTTGTTTGCGTTCTTGATGATAATTTTTTAGTTTCCTGTGTAGTATTTTGTAGACTTTGTTAGTCGGTACGTTTTTTACTTTTGATTTTTTTTCTTCGACTTGTAATGTTTGGTTGATTCTCGAAACATATTTGATTTTTATCACAACCTTAGCTTCTTAAGTACCCTGTTCAGAACACTTCTTAATGATTTGATGTTAAATGTTCTTCAAAATGACCTTGAAATTATCAAATTTAGGAAAATAAGGAAAAATAAAAAATGAGACAAAGGAAACCTATGGTAAGAAGATAAAATCAATGGCAATATCAAATTATTAAACTTCTAAGGATTGTTGTAGACGGACGGACGCGGTTTCTTTTGTTTGTATGCTGTAAAATTGTGTACTGGTTGTTTTGGATATTGCACTAGATAGAGTGTTGAATAAATAAATCCTGTACTTATTTATTATGTTACCTTTAATGTCCCTTTGCCCACTGGTTCACCCCTTGTGTTTCCTATAATGCTTTCTTAAAAGACGGTTGCTACTTACAAGAAAGTAATTGAACCAAGGGTTTCAAGTGGGAAAGAGGAGGAAGTTATCTCTTACTGACGCATGCATGATTTGGTAGACCGTTTTGGAATATATTTGACACAGATGACCATAGATATGTCCCAATTGTCGAATGCACAATCCCAACCTCTTGTCATGGATTGTAACATTATCGAATTTGTATCTGCCCACTCTCCCAGAGCATCGGAGATGACCTCCGGGTTTCGTTGGGACTCGTGTTGCCTAGTATTAAGTTTTTTGTGTGGTGTTTTGTAAACTGTTGTTTGTCTTTTCGTCGTTTTTCTTTTTTTTTTCGCGCCATGCTATTTTCGGTATTCATCGACTTTAAATTTGTATTGCCCCTTTTTATGGACACACATACACCAATGTACCTGTTTTCTTTGTATAAAAGGATTATTGTCTTTTGCCAATTAGTAAAATGATTTATAGTCTGTTTTTTTTTCTATCAATCTGTTCCTTAATCTATAAATAAACATAATAAGCACAACTTTTTCTACATCGCTTAATAGCTTTTCGTGAACAGGGAGTTCGACCTTTCAATTACTGTCTACACTTTGAAATGAACACGAAATGTAAATGATCGTCGAAAATTCATGTAGTAGAGTTATCGTATATACTATATATGAATACGACAAGTAGTTTACTGTCTTGAAAACGTTTTGCCTTTATGTCTGTTATACCTACCACAACGATATTTTTCCTGTTTTGGTTGTCAAGCATTTTTTAATTGGAATTCACTTTTATCTTTTAATTTAGTATGAAGAAAAGGAAAGGCTTCTTTATTTTTTTTTTTTGCGATGAGCTTCTAGCTTTCCTTATACAGTTGAGTAAATGGGAAAAAACGGCATTTTAGTTTTTAATGTTTGATTAAACAATGTTGTATGACTATTGACAAGTGCGGCATATGTTTCTTCTATGTCTGTTAATTTTGACCTTAATGTACTTGTTACCTCATAGATTTTTATTTTCAACTAAACAAGAATATGTAACATCGTCTTTCGACCTTTAAAGTGAATAGACTTTTCTATATCGAAGGTGTATATCAAACGTGATGAAGATCGATTGCGAAACACAACACTAGCTCTACAGTTGCCACAAGTGTGTTACAGACGGACGTACGGGCATTCGCGTTAATTTTACCTTCCACAATGTTGTTGCGAGGTGATGGTAAAAGGTAGAGACATGAAAGGGGCATTCCAAAATCGAGTTCATCTCTATTGCAGGTGGCGCAGTCTTTTACGGCAGACTAGCACATCTAAGTATTTATTATCATATAATTGTAAGAAAAAACAGATTGGGATATAGAAATAAGAAGATGTGGTATGAGTGCCAAAGAGACAGCTCTCCATCCAAGTCACAATGTGTAAAAAGTAAACAATTATAGGTCAAAGTATGGCCTTCAACACGGAGCCTTGGCTCACACCGAACATAAAGCTATAAAGGGCTCCAATATGACTAGTGTAAAACAATTCAAACAGAAAATGAATTGATTTGCAGATTTTTTTTCTAATTTGATGGTATATACATTTCAATGCGTATTGAGAGAGATAGAGAGAAAATCCATAAATAGTCGTTTGCTCGATATCCCCAGTTCCTTTTCAAAATAGTCTAATTTCTAATTCGTTAAATCGAATACACGAAAGGCAATGTTATCTTTGATCCGATACCACCATTTCAACTGTAAGCTGTAGGTGTCCTTATTCTGTGTCGAGAGTTATGCATGACAGATATTGCATCAAAGTTAAATAGTCAGTCATCATTCTATTACTTTGGAGCAAGGATACATACTACGTTATACCGTCTTTCGTCAGGTATGCTCAATGTCTCTGAGATGAATTAAGGAATTTAATGAAACTTAGTATATTATTTGAAGATATTCATGAACGACTAATCTTTTTGACTGATCAATTTGAGCTTTCCACATCTTTTTGATGAGATGACAAGAGAATACACAATCTCAAGTGTATTTTAAATTATGGAAAACGTCCTATTGTTCACCCAGTCACCCATCCGGTAACATATTAAAAAGACACATGAAGAGTTGCTGATAAACAATGCAAAACACTTGCTTAGTTCATACGGAAGAAATTCAATATCAATGAATCTTAACTCTGATTTTCCCTCTATTGTTAACTTATTGTCAAGATTCGTAAATATTTTTAG